GAAAAATAATTATTTCTTCATAATGAAATTTTAATAAAAACATATTTACACTTTCGTAATTTTAAAATTTGAAGGCAAGTAGAATTGGTAACGTAGAGGAATCTAGTCATTCATGTATCTCTTTTGCAGGCATTGCAGGATAATAGACGGAATTTTCCTGCCTCAAACGCTCAAGTGCACTACAATATCACGAATGCAGAGATTGCTGATCGTCCGGCAATAGATGAAGTATCGTATATAGATTTCGATCCTGCACCCACATCCTCTTCCAAAAAGCCGAACGTCTGCAAAGACTGCAGTAAGTGAAAACATTTGAGATAATGTCTCTGATCGACATATATTTGATCATATAAAAATTTATGTACACACGCATATAAAAGAATAATTTTTCTTAATAATATATAATAGTGAAGTAATTAGAAAACACGTAATTAAGCAACTAATCAAATAAATGATTATCCGAATGTTTCATTATTATTTATTAATTATTAATTAATTATTTATTAAAGCGGATTATTATATTAATATATTTCAGCCTGCGGGCTTGGAAGAAAGAGACGGATTGTTGGCGGCAACGTGACAAGTATTTACGACTATCCCTGGCTTGTTAGTATGACTAAGAAAGGAACCTTTTACTGTGCCGGAAGTGTAATATCACGTAAGCATATTTTGACAGCAGCGCATTGTTTGCAAGGGTATGTATCAGTCAATTATAATATAATCCTAGATAATTACATATATTCTTAAATTATTTTCTTAATTTTAAAATTACACCATTATATAATCAACATAATTTTTTTTCAGATTTGATATTAAAACTATCAAACTTGTCTTAGTGGATAGCGAACGTCCTTCGATAAGCAGCAACGCTATAGTTCGACATATTAAATCGGCAACCATTCACGAAAACTATCGTGCTTCTGCTTCTTTTAATAATGATATTGCTATCATAGAAATGGATCAGCCTGTATCTATAAATGATGTCGTGCGAACAGCATGTTTACCTGAAGACAGTAAGCTATTTCCGATATTAGTAAAATATGTACATAAGTTTCAAAAGAATTTGCCATTCTTTTAAATTATACTATAAATTGATTATGACAACTATTCCATCATTTTTCGTGTATAAAATTAAAATGTATTGTAAGTAACGTTACATTAATTATTACATCAACTTTATAAAATATTTTGCATTTTGCATTTATTTTTTATGTTTAAATACATTCTAAGTTCAAATTTAATACTCAAAAATTTAGATAACAACTAAAGCGAAAATTAGAATCTCTGCCTAGAATTTGATGCAAGTGACAGTAATATCAATTAAAAATAATAAATTTATACGAAATTATAGGAACTATCGATTATACGGGAGCGATTGCCACTGTAGTTGGATGGGGTCGAACGGGGGAAAACAAACCAGTAAGTAACGACCTGCGAAAAGTCAATTTACCGATCTTGTCAAAAGAGGAATGCGATCAAGCCGGATATGCGAAAAACCGCATCACCGAAAATATGTTCTGTTCTGGTTACCTCGATGGAGAACGCGACGCCTGTTTTGTAAGTAAGAAAAAAAAGAACAAGAGAAATGCGTTATATATATGTACATATAATAAAAGTATATAATATTTATATAGTATCGCATCGATTTTTTTAAAACATAGAACGAGTTATCTTTATTTTTTTTTATTTCTTTGCGCGCGCACATATACACATACAATATACTTTTATTTATATTTTTATGTTTACTTAAAGGGAGATAGCGGAGGACCATTACATGTCAAAGGAGTTTATGGACAACTTGAAGTAATAGGTATGTATTTATGCTAGCAGGACATTTTTAATTTTATTTAGCAATCTTTAATTTTAGCACTGAAATATAATTTTTTTTGTACATAACAACTGCATTCCATGTTCTTTATTGACTTAAAAACTTTTATATTAAAAATCTGAATAATTAATATATATTAAATTAAAATTGTCACTCTCTTTGTATTAATACAAGATAAACTGAATTCTATTTATTAAGGAATATGTCTAATATCAATTTGCATTTTAATTTTTGTATACATTATGTGTCAAAAGGCATCGTTTCATGGGGTCGTGGTTGTGCAAGGCCAAATTTTCCTGGAATATACACCAAGTTAACAAACTATATTGAATGGCTTAAAGATAACTTAGGTGATGAGTGCATTTGTCCACCACTGCATCAAGAACAAAACTAACACTTGGTATAACATATTATAATTATCATAGAAGAAAAGTAAATGTCAAATTAGCATTACGCTATTTTTATTTGAGTATTATAAACCTATGAGGAAAATATTTTCATCTTTCTAAGTTAATATTTGTGTGATAATTGGCTATTAATATATAATATACTTTTTATATTTCAAATTAGTTTGATATTTAACGCGCGCGAGATTCATATTATATACTGCAAACGTATATAAAGATTATATCTAGTTATTTTATTATAGAATTATATATATATTGTAAAAATCTGCGTTATATTAATGTATAATATATATTTATTTATATATAATATTACATATATCTAGTCCAGAAAAATTGTATATAATAAAATATTTATATTATATATTGCGATATTATATATTGTAATACAAATGTCTTGTTAAATAACAAGAGATGTATAATAACAAAAAGCATAAATAGTTCTTATTTACTCAATATATTGTATATAAAGTTGTCAGAATTATAAATAATTTATTATCAAATGTGTTCTCTACTGTATAAAAAAATTGTCAAAAATTATTGCTATCTTTCTTTCTATTTCCTTTCTTCTAAAAACATTATAAATTGCAATAATGTTTATTTAGCTCATTAGCGTGATGGAGCTCAACTTTATCATACCCGACTTGTGATACGACATCTCAATGCCACTTTCCCTAATCGATTGGTCGTGACAGTGCCATTTAACTGGCCATCAAGATCTCCAGACTTAATCCCGTTGAATTTTTATTTATGGAGTTGGATAAAGAATAAAGTGTACAGGAAAAGAGTGGATACACGAAACAAATTGCTCACATAATGGATGCTATTGCCCGCATAAAGGAATATCACGATGCACTCAGACGAGCAACACGCCATGTTCTCACAAGAGTTGATAAATGCATTGATGTTGACAGTGGAATTTTTGAAAATTTATTATTATAAAGTATGGCCATTCAAATGAACCAGCCAGAATTTAAAACAATGTACAAATTGTTGCGTCGCTTGTTAGCGTTTTATAAAAAAATTAAAATTCTTAGCCAGATTGTAAAATATTTCATTTTCAACCATAATTTGAGAATGTGGCCGCACTTTATAAAATGCCTAGACATTTTATAAAACGATGGATTATGTAATCTAGCTACGACATATATATAAAAATCTGTGAGGAAACTATAGTTTTTATTTCAATTTATAAAATAATTAGCTAGATATGCAATGAGTAAGATACTTTATAAAGCTTAAAAAATGTACGATCTTTGAATTTGTTGCACAAAACGCGCACTTTTTTTATTAAAACATTTTGGCCATGCACATTCAATAACTTAATAATGAATCTCATTCTCAGTCACACCTTCTGCTCGAGATTGCGCGTACAGATATGTATAGTCAACGTCTGTATCTTTATTACTTAGGATTGCCCTAGTACGTCAGAGTCTTATAAATATGGAAAACTGTTTTGAGATAAATGTATCTTCAGTGCAGTGCAACGTAATTACTTTTGCATGCAAAATTATTATGTAAATGTGAATCATATGCACGTGTCGTATAATAAATACGCAATACGCACTGGACTTGATAATTTCTCGAAAATTTCCGCTGGCCTTTTTATATATAGAAGATATTTTGATTAAACGTTGATTATAGATTAAACTTGTTGGTTTTATAACATTGAAATTGGATCAATTAATTAGACAACACTTTCAATTTCTTGGTTTAAAAATATATTTTTTAACTTTAATTATAAGCTTTAGTATGCTTTTATTAGATTATTAAAGCAAATATTGTCCCGCGAGTTTATAAAAATTTATGCCATTTGATAAAATATACGTATTTTAACTATATTAAAAAAAATCACAAGTATGACTCAATTCTTTGATGTTTATGGGTCTAGAATATGGAAAAACTTTGTGAAAAAATATCTAGTGATTGCATTATATTATTAAATTGTCAACACATTTTAGAAATAACATTATCAAATTACATTACATCTTTAACGCAAATAAATTCAGAGGATATATATCAAGTCATAAACGTATGTGTGCGCGTATAACCAAAGTAAATGCAATACAAGACCATTAGCCAAAAAAGCATTGTAAAATAATATAAAATTAATATGCAATATGTACATTTTTATTAATTAGAATATTAATTTGATATCTGCAAAAGATAAGTAAATATTTCTTTAGTTTAATCACTTATGGATAACGTTTAAATTTCTTTGAAAGCTTGTTAATTGTTTATTTTATCGCCGTTTATTATCGCCGTTATCGTTTTTGATAAACACGCGCCATGCACACGCGCCACGCACACACGCACGCTTATGTGCACACATACGAGCAGGCACAAAATATTTTTTATATTAATTGTTACACTTTATTTTAGATGAAATTTTCGCAAATTTTGTTTTCTATTGTGATAAAAGTATTCATTTATTTAATTTTTACTAATATTTTATAATTCTATCTCTCATAAATATTATGATATGACAAAATTATATAATCTATACAAACTCTTAATAGTTTATGAAAAATTTTACGAAAAGTTGTATAACAACATTGCACATATATGCATATATATATATATATATATATATATATATATATATACACATATATATAATATAGTACTTTTAATTTAAAAGCTATCGTTTTCTAGAACTATTTGCTTTATTTCCTACTGCAAAAAATAATTAAAAATTATTGTCAAATTGTATCGCCTAATTATTAAAATTGTATTACAGAATATTTATTGCATGCTTTAATTAGATAAAACTATATGTTTATATTATTGATAATATCTTGTGATGCAGTATATGAAGTTTTTATGACGCAAAATACCCGCTTTGTATCGTATATGCGGGTAAGTATTATTATTTATATATCTGCACTAATTACTTATTATTTTGCAACATTCTAGCTACAAATTTTTAATTACCATTCTTATATTTATACATATATAATACATTTATTATTTACATATAATTAACACATAATTTTCGTCATTTGTATATTTGGAAACGATTAAATGTTATTATATGTATTGTTATGTATAAAACTGACAAAATAATTAAAATAATTGGTTTTAATTTTAATTTTATTATATTACATAAAAAAGGCAACAAATAGTAATTGATAATTAATAAACACATTATAAAGGCATGTTAAATAAACCTCAATGTTTAAATATTCATACAAATAAGCAACAAGCAAAATCAGGTCAGTAGTCTCAGACGTTTTGCTTTCAACGGCGAATGTGGGTTAGTGAAACCTACATGGTGATTCCCATTACCGGTGATTCCCCTTCCGAATTAAAGTGCAATAAATATGCTCAATTAAAAGGGAAAATACAGAGAGAAAGAGAAAGAGAGAAAGAGAGAAAGAGAGAAAAAATGTGCACATTTTATCTACAATTCTCATGATTTTTAAGTGATCCAAATAATATTTAAAATGTCAATTATAATATATTATATATTATAATACTTATCTCATTAGACAACATATATATAAGATATCTAATATACTTATATATATATGTAAAA